GCCTGACACTAGAAGATATCGTTTTTCTGCTGAACACGGTTAACAGGTATCAATTCAAGTTCGGTCGTGTCGCTTTCATTGATGGGTCTGCTCGGAAAGTTCCGAGTAAGACGACTTCAGATGCTTTTATTTTCATTCTGTTTTGCACTGAGATAATGTTTGGTTTCACCTTTGACGTTATAGAGCACGATGAGGTCCACAGCTGTTCACACCTGGGCGGTTTTCGTATTGAGTAGTCTTTACTCTTTCAAATGTCGACTGCGGACTTGCCCCGGGTTCTGTATGAACATATGAACGGTCTTTAGAAGCAAGGGCCCAACACAGCACAGTTGGGCTTAAAAAGACAAGTGAATGCCTGTTAAAAGCAATAGAGGCGAAGCAACTTTTGTAAAAAAAAAAAAATTCTCTCTGATTATCCCACCGAGATGATGGCACATTTTGAAGAAATGCAGTACATACGGAGTTAGCTATGGCTCAATTGAAGTTCAAGATCTGTGGCACCAATATAAGGACTTTTAAGTGAAAAGAAAGGAAATATTATATTGACGCCGCATACTTCTAAAGACCAGCAATGTGTTCGTTTTAAATCGATCACTTAATGTTAACTTTCTAAAGTATACCGTGTTTTTATGCAAAAGGTGATTTGCGAGGACCCACGAGAGCCCACATTCGTTGTCGTGACATCCCGATTCAGGGACCCAGTCGTTGTCGTGATGGGGTGACGTACCTTATCCGGGATTCGAACTCGTGACTCTGCATTTCCATGGTTGATGACGCTTTGGATTGCTCATTTGCATCCATGCACTCTAACGACTTCGCTACGTACGAGTTATCTCTTAAAGTAATCAATCGCAATTTTTAAAAATAAATTCTTACCAAAAAGGACATTTACGCCTGCTGGGACTCGAACCAGCCTACGAGTGTTTGCCAGTATCCCAGACAACAAAGATACGTACCACGGAGCCACGGCAGCTTCGTTGATACATGGTGATCAGATGGAATCTTTCAACCTTGTCACAGAGAGGGCCAGATTGGATGCACTTGTATATAACTGCTTGTCACAGAGAGGGCCAGATTGGATGCACTTGTATATAACTGCTTGTCACAGAGAGGGCCAGATTGGATGCACTTGTATATAACTGCTGTCCCAATCGATAATCCGGGTGCCGTGTTTCATCCCACGCAAACCCAGTCCTCGACCATGGTTTATCATGAACGGTAAATTCCATGATGTACAGGAAGTCCTGTTTGAGAACCCGAGTTTGATTTATACTTAGAATAATTTTGGCTTTTCCTATGATATTAAAGAGTACAAAAGGATCAGAAGCGGTTTACAACAGGCGTGTTTTAGTTTAAGGGAATAAAATTTAATCAAAATTGTAATTGCTGGTGCGATTTCCATTTAAGCAATTGCAGCGATGGAAACATTTGAGTAAAACATAATTGGCAAATAATTCCGCCTAGAAGATATAGTTTTTCTGCTGAACACGGTTAACAGGTACCAATTCAAGTTCGGTCGTGTCGCTTTCATTGATGGGTCTGCTCGGAAAGTTCCGAGTAAGACGACTTCAGATGCTTTTATTTTCATTCTGTTTTGCACTGAGATAACGTTTGGTTTCACCTTTGACGTTATAGAGCACGATGAGGTCCACAGCTGTTCACACCTGGATCAAAGGCGGTATACAACAGGCGTGTTTTAGTTGAAGGAAGATATATATTATTATTATAACCTGTAAATATATTTTGACTCTTCTTCCTTATCACCCTAACAAGACAGTAACAACTGATTGACCAACAGATACTGTATGACCTGGGTTTCAAAAAAAAAACAAAAAAAAAAACAATCAAGTGTGGCCCGATCTACCGGTTAATTCAGGATCATTTAGTGCCGAGTCTTGAATTTGGATAGGCCTGATATAAGTAAATTCCAGTATAATATTTCACCTAGAACCAACGCTTTTTTCCAGAATCGGGCTACTGGCAGTCCAAAACTGCCATCTGTAATTTCTTTCAAAATTTCAGGGCGTCACTCTTTTCCAAGTACCGGGAGCGGGGGTGGGGGTGGGGTAAAAGTTCATTGAAAAAATATTTTAAAAATAATAAATTTCATTGGGGAGGGAGGTTTAAAAATCATCGATAACGATCACCTGCTGACGCTCTTTCCCTGGGAAAGCCTTGCTTAAAACGGTATATTTATTTACTGTGACACAAACTTATGCAATACTGTTGTTCGCTGTGGTTTGCGGCAGTTATCCCCGGTAGTTGTCAGAAAATACATGTAGTCTGAAGAACAATTGATCGTTGTAGGATTATTACGCCTTCTTACTATCCTCCTTGTTATATCCATGGTCAGCTAAATGACGAATCTCCTAAAAGCTAAACTTATATATGGTTTCATCCAAAATCAACCAATTATATTACAGGATAAAGTTCTGATATATCAATTTTTTATTATTTGCTTGTGAACATTGCCCATGTCACCCTGTTAATTTGGAGGACTAAGCTGGATCAAGTCCGTGTCAAAATTCTTTGAAGCTTTGCAGGAAAAATCTTCTTTTGTTTCTCTGGCTCCTTAGAAAGGCCGCTATCCAGATTTTATCTAGTGCTCCCAGGTCTGCTGTAGCTGCTCTTTAGATTTTTATCTGAGATAAATATCGCCAGCTAGAGAGCGTTCGATACACTTAAGACAAAGGCTACCTGAGAGTTGAAGGGCACTTAACCCTTCAATTAAGAGGTAAAGGAAGTTCCAGCTACATGGACGATTAAGATAGGACTTCTGAAGGTAGCTAGTATTATATATATATATTGTTTATTTACCTTAATTCTGTGAAAGCCAACGAGTAGGGGTGTCAGAACAATGGTGCGTATACAACTTATACAGAAGATTGTACATTCAGGTGACGCTAACTTGCAATCGAAGGGAATTTTCGATTATACACCGTGAAAAATACACTAAATTCATAGAGAATAATATCATAATTGACAAAAAAAAAAAAAAAAAAAAAAAAAAAAAAAAACATTGTGCATCCGTGCGTATGCCTGGTTACGCCGGCCCTTGCTATTGAGTATAGATAAATGGGGTTATAGTGCATTGACGCACTTAGATAAGTAACAACCTTTTGGTGACTTTAGACTTCGCAACAAACTACAGTAAGCGCAAGCATTTTATTATTATTATAACCTGTAAATATATTTTGACCCTTCTTTCATATCACCCTAAGAAGGCAGTAACAACTGATTGACCACTGGATACTGTATGACCTGGGTTTCAAAATTATCGCAACATACATGCGCTTTTGTGTTGTTATGCTGCAGGTTGACCGTCGCTTCATCAAGCTAGATATTTGGTTTAGCACTGCAGTAATCGGGCATAGTAAACCAAACAGACTTTACTGACTGCCTTCCGCTTTGGGACCCTGGTCAGTTAGATTCTTATCATTTTCTACTGACAGACAGCTTTTGCGGCAGGGTTTGAAAACGATGTGGTAAGGCCTTCTACAACATGTTCATGTATAGTTACACTTTGAACAATGGTAATTAGCCACCCTTTTAATTCACTTGACACCTACTTACGTGAAAAATCCCTATTTAATGCTCAATGGAAGTGATCGTAAAAAATACACAATATGGATGTCACTTACGAATCTAGGATTTTGCTAAAGGAGGTGTACAAGGATACAAAACATTTTCTCCTTTTGCTTGTCAAATTTTAACCTGTAGATGAAGAACGGGTGGAAAAACTGCTTTATTTTACTCATTCCAGTCGTTAAACCTTTTCTCTTGAGGGGGAAGAGTGAGAAAGGGATTATTGAGAACCCAAATGATGTCTATGTACATGTACCCGTTGTGGGATTGTAATAATTTGAAATCGTTATCTTGAATCTTTCTATTTAATACGTGGAGTTTTAATGTCTCAAATCGTGCTACTCATACATGTATGTCTCACATCTTCTTACATCCGATAAATATGCGTGGCATAACCCGAAATAATCTTTGTTTATTTATTTATTTATTGGTTTTATATTCCCTATAGCGTGCACCTCTGTCTATAAGCACGGTTGTTCTGATATAAACCACAGCTATTTTGGGTACGGTGATCGTGATCAACATTAAAAAATTGACGGGTCCCATAAAAATCTTATAGGCCTACATTTAGTACCTGTTCTATTAGTGCACAATCCCTATGACAGAAAGCCATTTAACTAATAACATATTAACTGAAGTCAAATAACTCCTTGAGACACATGACCGCAATCGAGACAATTGAGATTTGATCATACTGGTATATCATTCTTCACACTTGAACCGTAATTAATTACTGGGGGAAAAACCTACATGGCTCCTAGACAAAACACTTGCTGCAGTTCGTTCGCCAATCTACAGGGACTGTTTTTGTTTTATCCAAGTATTATGTACATACAAGTAGACTTCTTTGACGTCACACTCACTACGCTACATTCTGCAGCAGGGCGGTCTACTGTGAATTCCTAATGGGAATCAAATCTCTAATCCATATCATGAAGATTAGAGGCACGCGCTGATAACACTGGGTCCATCAGCATGAGAAAGTGTAAATGCGAGCCGATAGAGAGCATTGTTCATTTATCAGTTCACGTTGATAACGACCTTTATTATATAGAGCCCTGTATATTCTAAACCAAGGGGTGAGCATTTATCTAACTGATCAGTTTATCATTGGTTATGGATTGGGACGAGAAAGGAATGGATCTGCAAAATTGATGTTATACAAGGTAAACGGACCTTTCACTGGTTACAAAGTGATGGACCTTCTGATGCAGACGTACTAGCAAACGCTTAGTACCAACATGACGATACGAAAATATGTCAGAAGCTCACGCTAGCATAGTAGGTCCCAAACAGCACTACAAATTTATGTTTGAAAATTAAATGTCAACGGCCTACATGTACCAGTACATGCGGGCATGATCATGTACTAGAAGTGTGATATCAACAAATTACTAATCACCATATGTTGAAAGTGATTGACAAAGTTTAAATGTCCTAAAATGTACAGAGGAGAACCTGTTGGTCCATTGGGCACAAGGTATCACAAAAGACCGGGGTACGTGGGCGCCGCAAAACTCGGCGACCCCCGCGAAGTATTAAGAACGAATATAAGGACACAGTACGGAGCCATCGCACGGACAAATCTTTATGAAAATGACCGGAGAAACATGGAGAATGTTCATGACAGTGACGATGACACGGATGAGGATGAGAATGAAGGCATTAAACGCGTACCCTCAAACGCGAGCCTGGCCAGTGTAGATCAACAGAAAAATGACCCTGGGAGTAGAGGGTCCTTACGGTCGCTAGAAGGACTCACTGACGATGAATTAGGCGATCTGAGGTCATCTAATTTGCCGTTAAATCCGGCTGAGATACGACGGAATTTATCAAAAAGGCGAGCCAAAAAGAAGACCATGCAGATGACTATTTATGCTATTGTATTTTTCAATTGGCTTGCTTACCAGGCTCTTTTTGTCAACTTCATGGATTTTACAGAAGATTCCTCCGTCGTCTTATTCACGGACAGGGCTGCAGGAGCGTTAAAGGATTCATACGCTAGTAAGTGTTCGTGGAGCACAAACATACACTTCGAGTTCGCAAGCTAACTATATGGGCAATTTTGTTTCTGGAAATACACTCTTTTTTATAAATGTCTCCATTCAGATAGGCCCCTAATTTTGAAAATAATTCCACACTTGGCAACAACGCAATTGTATTTTCCTTGATGCACTGTTTATTTTTTGTTTTCCTTTTAAAATAAAGCAGAAGCTTCTGTGTGAGTTAGGGCTACAAAAATATTTTTCTGTCATTGTGCGTAAAACAGTAAACCATATAGTGAGGAAACAATAATTTGTTCATTTAACAATAGCACGACAATACCTAAATAAGACAGACACAACTTTTTACCACAATGTTCAGGCTTAACCTGTCTTCTGGCTGTATTTGGAGGTGCCCTGGCTGATTCGATGCTAGGCAACGTTAATGTCCTCCTTGCGGGAAATGTTTTGAGCCTTATAGGTAAGAAATTAAAATGAACAGTGAGAATAATTTTGATAGGCAGCTGTTAATGTACAACTTCAAAGTAAGCTGTTAAAAGAAAACCCTTATATTCACATAAGCTGTACAACAGGTAATATTTTGATGTTGATTTTCACATTAATGTGCTCTAGCTTTGTCAACATTTTAATTGTATTATTACTATTATTATTATTATTATTATTTTTAAGCAAGTCTGTGAGTATCTTTTTCTTTAGCTGTTTTCAATTTGCCATCGTTTCAATTTTAGGTTGTATAATTGTTTTAGTGTTGGCCTGTTTACCGAGAGAGGTAATGGAATTTATCATTATACAAACAAAATATTTTATCACAATTATTAATTTTTATTGTTACTTTCAATGTCAAGTCATCTTGAGATAGGTTTTGATAACCAATGTGTACTAGTACAAGAATCAAGAATTGAGCGCCCCAATGTAGTTTTAGGCAAAATATGAGTTTCCTTTAGCTGTGAATATTGCTAAGAAAAAGCATTGAAAACATCAAAAATATATAATTTATATTGGAATGCGCAACGACAGTCTGACATTGTTGCTAGGTAGATACCTTTGAAAATAATTTCTCTGCATTCGTCTATATATCATAACGAAATAAATACACGCATAATACAACACGCTTCAGATACATGGCGGAGATCAGTATATTTCTGTGAGAAATGCCACCTTCATCACCGTGGTGTGTTTAGTTGGAGACGGCCTTGGCGTTCAGAGATCCATTCTGTTTTCCATAGGCCCCAACCAGCGGCGGAATCAGCAGACGAAACGTGACATCATAAACTGGTAGGTTATTTGTATGACGCTCAGTTGGTCTTTTAAAGCCTAAGGATAGAGCAGCAAGTGATGATATCGAGTAGTGACTGTCACACTTTTGAGAATTTGAAAATAAAATATATGTCATAACAGCGTGTCTCAGCAAGTGACGGCAAGGAACTAATTATCAAAGTTGGCGAAGATAGAATCCATAGGTTTTGACTAAAAATCCGTTGAATCTAATTTAGGTTACCATCTTCTTCTTTCAATCAAGGCTTATTTAGGTTATAATTAAATAAGCTTAAAAATTCGGTTATCTTTAATCTTTTTATTTTTTTACTTTTTTGTTATATTGAAATTAGGTATAATCACTGTTTTTAAACCATTTAAAAACTTTTTTGTTTACTTAGGACATACTTTTTAGTAAACCTGGCCTGTCTGATACCATTTCTGTTAAAAGATGTGTTGGACGTAGTTACATGTGATAAGCAGCTGGACACCTTGTACTGGTGCATAAGCTTTTCCCCAGCAACTGTTCTTCTTGCCGTAAACCTACTTTTACTGACCTACAGGCGAAAAGGGTTTAAAAAAGACAAGAGCAAAGGTACGTTTTGACCTTTCTTTTAACTTTCAATTTCAATGCCGCAAACATGCGAGTTTTGGAAACTACTCGGGCACATCGTTCAGAAGCTGTGATTGGCGTGGCGTCTTTTCATTGGTGCATATGAATTGTCGAGAAAAGGCACGTGCTTTGGGCGCTTTTTAAGGGGGCGTTACTGTGAGCATTTTATAGTACATCTACTTTTAAAAAAGGGTTTCAGGTGCTTATACAGGGGGGTGGGGGGAGGGGGGTTAGAGCTTGCCATACTTTAGACGCTATTTTTCGCAAATACGTCCCTCCATCTTCACTATAATTATTGCAGAAAAAGACAAGTCAAACCTGGTTAAGGTTGCGCAGACTATCTACTCGAGTTCCATCCGGGGATCTTTGACGAATGGAGGTAGCACAGCGAACAAGAGAGGCGCCACCAAACCGTATAGGCCTCTGAAGAAACAGGAGCAGATAATAGAGGAAAAACGTAACTTGACAAGGTCGTTCATAAAGCTTGTGACAGTGCTGCCTTGTATTTTACTGGTGCCTATGGTGTACAACGAGGTAAAAACCGTTTCTTTTCTTTTTCTTTTTTTGCGTCACTATTACAAAATTGACATTAATCACATAAAGCGAATTGTTTGTATTTCTTTACTTGAATCGTATAATTTAATTAGCAAAATTATTATCAAAGTAATTCTGAGGATTAGCCATATTTTAATATTAACACCATGAACACCATGAACACAAACTAATTTCCATAACGTGGTATTTTTCGCACTTTCACAGGCGATGTATGTGTTTGAAAAGCAGGCCAAATGCATGACTGGGCTCACGATAAGGAACCGCATGGTTCCCTTTGGTTGGTACATACAGTACGGTATAAGCGTAGTCTTCATCCCGGTGTTCAACTGTGTTGTATATCCATATACTCATAAAAGATACGGGCCGTCACCAATCGCAAGACTGAGTAGGTGCATAGCAGAGTTGTTGCTGCCTTTTTAATTGTTTTAAGATAATTTTTATAAAGATTAAGTGGCATGTTTAACCATGTTTAACACCAAAAAGGGGCATGATCAAAGAGTATGGGCAAATGTATTTTGTATCACCATTGTCTTGCTTGTGTGTATAATTTACGATAAATTTGATCATTACAAAAATTTTTAACGCTTATAATTGTGTACACAATTCTCTCAAAGGTTGTTAACTCTCTCTCTCTCTCTCTCTCTCTCTCTCTCTCTCATATATACACATGCACGCGTGCGTGCTCATTCGCTCACGCACACAGATGTGATATCTCATATGCAATTTCTCCTACTTTGTACATTACAGCCTTTGGGAGCGTGCTGTTTATATTGGCGATACTGGTGGCCATCTTCGTTGAATCTGCTTTAGACGAGGCAGGCTGTGGGAGAGTTAGTGCGGCGCAACTCATCCCACAGTGGACGTTACTTGGGTTCGGAGCATTATTTATTTTCCCCACGGGTAAGATAGAAAATTACAACGTGGGGTTTGATACGAGGATTAGATTCAACATTCAGACTAGAGGGCATCTACTGTATTAGAAGAACATAAGATTGTTGTTAACTAAGGATGTATTCCCAGAGATTTAGATCGATCCAGAGATTAAGATTTAGATCGACCTAACTCCTTGGGGGTTCACGCTAAATTGCAGTCAGCCGAGCGCGCACCATAGTTAATTACCCCCTTACAGCTTTTAGTAGGCGGGAAAGACGCTTAAGCCGCCTAAGCTGACAGTAATCTAGTGAGACTCCCCACAGGAATAGATCGATCTAAAACCTATGGAAATGGGGTCTAAGAAAGAGTTTTTTTATGACAAGTGTAAATTCTAGTACAGTCGTAAAAAATAAGTTACAAACAATCATTTCAGGTGTGGAGTTTGCCTACATGGAGTCTCCAGACGGCCTAAAAAGCACAATTGTCGGCTTCGTGTGGACCACATATGGAATTGGTCTCATTGTTGGGCAGGCGATGTTGAAATTTGTGCATAAAAAATTTCGAGGTATAGATGAACGCGTTTTCACACTTTCCCGACAATTTGATTTGGTTCTCTGATTATGAAATCTTTGAAAGCACAGGGTTACAACAATGTTTTAACGCCAGGGGAGGGAAAGAAGAATGAGGATAAAGTAGATAATGTCTTAAAAACTTGATCTGGTGTAATTGTAAATTGATTATCCATGTCTGCCCCCCCCCCTCCACCTTTAAGTTTGAGCTTCCATGCAGTAAGAATCACAATTTTTACGAACCTGACGCCATTTGACTCGTTTTTGTCTACTTCCCATCATTGTTATTAATATTTGTGAGCGAATTTGCACTCGGTATTATCATATGCATATAACCCTATTTTTTTCTATTTCTAGACGAGGCCTGCAAGTCAAAGCACGGATGCTCCAATCAACTGCCCCCTCTCGTCGCTCTTCTCATATTTCTAGTGGTCGGACACGTGATCTTCATCGCGGGGGTGTACTTTTACAAGCAGCCACCCCCCAGGTCCCAGGACAGATCTTTGAACCAGAACGACAGCCGAGAGTCACGACGGCGTTAGACATCCAGTGTCGAATGTTATAGAGATTATAATTGCACATGTACATGTATTTTCCAATTAGGCAAAGCTGAGCTAAGGAACGACTGGATTTTCCGCTTTGCTTTAGTTTCTCGGCATAGCCGCGTTCGAAGATAATACTCATGGGTTATTATTATTATTATTATTATTATTGTAAGTAACATAATTAAATTTTGGGTTTAAACAAGAATAATTGGTTTTATTTTTTCTCCCAGTTTGAATCCAATTCAAAGGTCTGTAATTATTCAGTTTGATGTAGAAAAAATTACTTTGATGGGACTTCGTGGCATCGTCCATCATAAACTCATATGAAAAGAACAAATAAAGGATATTCAGGTATACCGCGGAAAATCGGATAGAACCTTTCTCCTTAAAGTATAAAGGAAAAAATAAAGAAATAGTTATGGGCCACCGACTTTCTTTTTATTCTTTCAGTCTTTATTAACAGACCATTTTCACCGATTTTGCCCGTTTTTTTTTTTTTTTCTGGACAAAATGTCTTGCATTTTAAGTGTGCACTGCTTAAAGAATAAGATAAAACTAGAAACCTAGGACAGTGATCGCATGATCTTTACTAAGACTTTATAGAACTATATAGAAATGCACTCAGAGTTCAAGAGCGCAACCCTCCGCCAGGGAAAATTGTGGTAGATGAAAATACATTCATTGTACGACACATTCATTACCTATATTACGCAATGGTGAAGAATCCTCTTTTTACCAATATGAATTTGGTGAATGTTGTTCCAGATCACCGCCAAAATCTTAACACTTACAAGTCAGTCAACTCCAGACAAATCCATAAAATCCATCTATAACTTTTTGGGTCAAGTTGGTGACGAACGTAAAAGTCATAAGTCAGTAAGAGCGCATTCTCAGAGATTTAGATCGATCCAACTAGATCGACCTAACTCCTTGGGGGTTCACGCTAAATTGCTGTCTGCCGACCGCGCACGAAAGTTAATTACCCCCTTTTAGTAGGCGGGAAGTAAGACGGCTAAGCTGACAGTAATCTAGTGAGACTCCCCACGGGGATAGATCGAACTAAAATCTGTGGGAATAGGGTCTTAGACAAAAAGAAAGGCAACAAGGAAGACAAAAAGACAAAAACGGATGTAAACAGGTAAATGTTTAACCGGTAATATCTGATTCAGCATATGCGAAGACTGTCCAAAGTAACAAGAAATGGACTACAGCTCCTAGTGGACTAACATCTCTGTCCGATTACCTTGAGATAAGGAAAGTTTAAACCCTCTCAAATGTAAACACACAGGATAAAGTGACCTGGATAATAAACTTCAACCCCTTCGTCCTTTCGGCGTTTGTTCAGCAGTGAAACATGGCCGCGCTCACCACAGGTAAAGACAACACCAAAGTGCCAACAAAACAGCGTCCCGCTGTTTATATTCGTAGATCACGCGCTGACGACCCTGAGTATGGGTTCCCGGACGAATTCATCGAATTGTGTGAAGAACATTTTGACGTTTTATATGAGAAAAACATAACCGGTAACCCTGAGCTGGGGAAGAGGGTCGTCGGGGCCTACAACCGAGGTCCTAGTATGCCGATTTCAATTGACGAGTTGTGGAAGTTTCCCAACTTGAAAATTGTTGTTTGCAGTGGCATTGGCTGGGATCATATTGATGTCCGAGGATTGAATGCACACGGTATTAAAGTGGCAAACAACCCTGGGGTCTCCAGTAACGCTGTGGCTGACTTTGGGATAACTCTGATGTTGGCGTCTGCTCGTAGGCTGCTGGAAGGTAGGGCGAGAGAAAGAGAAACGATGTTCTCAAAGCCTAACGTGACATAACGCTAGTGCCGTTATCAGTAAGTTAGTGGACAGGACACAAGATGTCTGGTTAGGGCCTTACTGATAGTACATGTATAAAACATAATGCATATACAGAAACATCTGGTCTATAGTCTACTACTTGGTAAATGTGTTTTGATGTGTGTATTCATTAATATGGACAAGTTAATGATGTTTGGTTTCTGCATTATGACCTTGTTGGTGTAACATATTCACTTCCGCTTTTTTTTTTGCCACTGTGTTTTGTATAGAAAAGAGCTGAAAGTTGTGAAGACCACAATCGCGCGGTTACTGCAAAACACTTACGTTTATGACATGTACAATTGTATTTATATTGGCATTTAAAACAAATGTATCGAACAAGTAACTAACTAGCTGGATTTTTCTCTTTTATAATGTATCCCAATTCTCATATGGTGAAGTTACTGGGCATAGTTGCCTCCTTTGGTAGAGGGGGGTTACCTCTATATGTACATGGAACTGGCATTCACTAAGTAGACCCGAATACACAATACACATTTTTTAAAATCTCTGCATATGTTCAAAATCCATAATTATTGAGAAATCTCTTGAGACATACCGAATAGTGTTAAATGGTATGCATGTCACCACAGTCTCTCAGTTTCTCGCACGTGTCTCTGTTTTAGGAGTGCCAGTGGCCATGGGTCCAAAGCAGTGTCAGAAATTCAACGTTAACTGGCTAGGCAATGATGTTTCATTCGCTTCCCTGGGGATAGTCGGGATGGGAGATATCGGTAGCAAGGTGGCAAAGAGAGCAAAGGCATTCGATATGAAGATATATTATCACAATAGGAATAGAAAGTGAGCGAACTTTATAAACACGCTATTTTAGACACATGTACATGTAATCACTATACTGTAAAGGACAGTAATTTGCTTATCCTATATTTAGATGATCCAACGGATTTCAAAAATCGACAATTGCATTGCCAAAATGCATTCTCCGTCAATTCTGGAGTTTTAAAGGTGCTTTATCTAGTTATCCGGTTCAGAATGGACAATTTCCCATTTTTTACGTTTTAGCAAAGCAAACAAAGTGAATTCATCTTTTTTATATTATTTTATTTTACTTTTAGGCCCGAAGAAGAAGAATCATCTGTCGGTGCAATATATTGTCCAACGCTGGCAGACCTGCTTCCACGTTGCGATTACGTCATGATCACGTGTCCTCTTACTTCAGAAACAGAAGGAATGTTTGGAGAAAATGAGTTCAAGTTAATGAAGCCAAGTGCAACAATAGTAAACGTTGCCCGCGGTAAGTAAAATTATCAGTATTAGCCTACCGGTGCTTTTCTTTTTTTATTTTTTTGTCTAGATTTGTCTTTGGTTTTGCAGAGCCCTTGGCTGGTTTATGGAAATTATTAATTGTCTTGTGGTAGGAGTATATATAATAAGTTAACACAGGTGGTATATACATCATGTTCCTGAAAGATATTGCACTTACCTTTAGACAAATACTGTATGATTAAACATGTACGTGTGTATCTCTCCCAATTACTTAATGAAGGTCATCATTTCACCATTTGAAATAAATACACATTTAACTCATTCAGTCTACGATTGGCTCTTATGGAGATTTGTCTTGCGAGTACAGTAAAATAAAAATGTACAAATAATTATAAATGCATATCTATGTCATATTTTTAAAAATTGGTGGTGAAACCTGCAAATGTCCAACGTCTCATCCTCTGTACTTTATGACAACAATGTTCAAATGCTGGTATCTCAAGCTAAAGTTGAATTATTTTGATACAGAAATAAATAGACAAATTTGAAACTATAACTTAAAGCTGTATTAATCAATTTATTCATAATCACAAAAGGCATAATTAAGATAGACTAACCTATGTCATGATCAGGTGAGATAATTGACCAAGAAGCCCTGTACAACGCACTGAAGAATAAGACTATCAAGGCAGCTGCATTAGACGTGACGTACCCAGAGCCTCTCCCCAGGGACCACCCCCTCCTCACACTGCCAAATATCATCATAGCGCCTCACATGGCGTCTGCCACAGCGGAAACCAGAAAGAGGATGTTGCCCCCATTGGTAGAGACAGTCCTAGCTGTTGTCGAAGGAAGGCCTCTGACAAATGAGGTTATACTATGAACACAGGCTTAGGAGATGGGGTTGGGAGGGGGGGCAGAATAATCAAGAAGCTTTAGGAGGGGGATAAGGCTCCTGTCCATTTATACAGCGAAATGTATACTTAAATAATAAATCAAAGTGGAAGTGTTCAAGTCCAAGTAAATGCTGTTTGTCGATATTCCATCCGTCAATGTTTTTTTACAAAGGGGTTAATATTCACCCCCCCCCCAAAAAAAAAAAAAAAAAAAAAAAAATTAAATAAAAGAAAAAGAAAAATTGCATCCTACGTGCCCGATGAAATACAACGCAATATGACAAAGGTGGCGCCAACTGTGAAAAATGTCTCTGTATGCAACATCGGACTTTTTACAGGTAATAAGAAATAATCAGTGTCAGTGTATTCATGTTTTAAACGTCCATGAGAACAAGTGCATGCCATTATAAAATAACCGCGGTATAGTAGCCTTTCACAGATGATACATATACGAATGCAAAATGAAAATAAATTCGAATTAGACTTCTGGCAATTACTGAAACTGTTATTTGAGGCTTGTGAAATGTGTCAACTGTGAAGTATGTTATTATAATTATAATTGTTTTGCTTTTCAAAAGAAAAATACCATTGCAAGCTTTTCAACTTAATTGTGACATCTAACTGAGGTGACGCAGGGAGTTGGAGTGGTTGTACCACCTACCAAAGTCACAGGGTGGATTTTTTCATCGGATATCATATAAATATTTCTCTGGTCAATCAACTGCACTTTTCCATGCTGCAAGAATTCATGTAAAAATGGTGTTATCTCCCAGCTGACCTCTGGTAGAAAGCACAGTGGATGATTGCAACAGGCTCAACAAACACATTTTGACAATTTGACACATTCTTATATTTAAAGGCACGCTAACAAAATGTTTTTCTTATCAAAACGTGCCTTTATAAACAGGTCATTTCCAACAACAAGTCAAAATCTACATTGTACGACCGGCAACGTGTCAGTTCTGGCAGTTTCGTTTGAAGGCCTAATCTTTTCCCGTCTACTATATATAGCGTCTATGTCTAGATAATGGCTAAAGTGCGACGAAAGAAAAGGTACAAATTATTTTTAAAAATTATTTATTTTTGACACGTATGTAAAATAATCTTATAATCGTGGATTAGATATTTAGAATACAAGACAGAAGCAATATTTATTTTTAAATATTATTTAAATATTAAAATGTCAG